GCATAACTTAAAAGCAAGAAAAATCATAAACGCAGAAAAAATAAGGTTGAATAAGACATATAAGAATAACCAAGCATTTAAGCTTTAGTTGACTCAATAACTCGAACAATCATATAAGCTATAAAATGTCAAAGAATCAAGTACCGTACGGATGAGGGTCGACACTTGGAAGGGGAAAGTATAGTTTTATAATAAGAACTGGTAGTTTCAAAGCATACTAAAACTGAATAAAAACCAAGTTTTGCAATAAGAGCAAATTTCCTGTTCAGCTATTTTGGGCAGAACAAGAAAACCACTGAGAAAGACAGACAGCTTCGATATCCCTATTATGTCATCAATGGCAGCACCTGTCCAATGAATACAAGTGAGTGAAAAGAGGTGAAAAAGAAAATGGGGCAATTAGTGAAAGTGTGATATGGAAGAAAAATATTTAAAGAAAAAAGGATAGAAGTAAAGACTGAGAGGATGAGATTAGGCCCGGAATTCCGTATACAAATTATAGTTTTATATTCTTCATGCTTGAGTCCGAGCACGGAGACTTCAGGCTATTAGTCATGAGAGCGACTCATGTAGATTTTGACGAACTTTCCTTCACGATAGTACAAGAGCAATCTTAGGAAATATATAAGTGAGCTGATCACGTCATCGCAACTTGGTCTTGCCGTCCGGGAGACTTAGTAAAACGCATCTAGTCCGAAATCCTCTGCCATAGTAGGTAGCATAATTCCCAGCATCAGAAAGTCTACTTTGTACATTCTCAAACGTTTCGCCGGCATCGTAAGCTACCGGATGACAAGACCAAGTTGCGACAGCGAGGTCGACCCACTTCCTTAAATCGAAAGGAGACTGCGACCATACCGGAGGCCACACTTGGTCTTCATATCTTCGCTTAGGAAATATAGTTAGCATATTCCATCAAGATAGCAAATTATCCAGTAAAAAGATATATAAAAAAGGACTCGTTTTTGTGGCACGTTCCAAGGATTGAATATAATTAATGAAAGGGCATGATGAAAGAGATTACATACGATACGATAAGCAGTCTCCTTGTAAATAGGGTAAAGTTGCGAAGGTGAGGACAAGCCAACTTTATAAAAGGAAAGAGGACTAAGGAAATGCGACAGGATAAATACTATTGCACAAATTAAGATTGCCAACTGTAAGGAAGCATTATAACAAGGAAATATCAAAACATCGTTTTACGAAGAATTCTTAGAAAGTTAGCTCTCAATATGAAAGAGACTTGCTAGAAACAGATTAGCAGAGTAATCGTAAACTCGGTTCGAAGTAAGATTGAGGCTGATCCGATGAGAACGGAATGTTATTTGGCGACTAACAGCCCTTGGCGTAGTACCCATCAGAGTTGATTCATTAAAACTCAGCTGCCATTTATTGTGGCAGATATCGTCAGAGCGAAAAACTATTTTGGGGCAAACGAGGCTGCGAAAACGAGATTAAGCCACTTATAAACAGAGAAAGGAGACCGCGAGCATAGTAAAGACAACCCCATCCTAGTCTTAACACCTTCGGCTGAGCGAGAATAGTAAAATCGCGTATGGCATCGACAGAGACCCATCTACAGAAGCTTCAGCAGGAAAATATCATATGAACTAAATTGAATAACAGCGACAAAAAATGGAAAACAATTGCGATTCAGCATTTTGCGGTTCAATCCCCAAAAGCAATGTGACGCAAATACGTATAGCTAACAAACAATAAAATTATGCCAGATCGGCAAGCAAATAAGAAGAAAAAGCAGGTCTGAAGTATTCCTTAGTAATTTATTGGGACATTACTTTCCATTTTTAAGGAAAAGTTGGTTGGAAAAAATTTGCTTAATGGTCTGACAGGAAACCAAATGAAGACTGCCGCGAGGTTAAGACCATTTGATTGTGCGAAGAAATCCTAGGCTCGGCGACCTGCGGCATCGACGAACCTGTGCCAAGGTTTCATTTTTACCGTCGTGACAGACATCATCAGCGCAAAAAGCGTTACTTTACAAAATAGCTCAAAAAATATACTAAACCTTTTCACTTCTCATGGTGTATTTTTTGCACTATCTCATAAAGTAAAGATTTCTGTTCTAATGTTGTCTGTAACGACGTTACAGAATAGAGCTTAGCATGGATTTATCGAGCTCGTCGGGCTGTGAGTCGGAGACTTCTTCGTACAATCCGCCGGGCCTTTATTCCATTCGGCGGCAATCCTTCTTCAGTCTCTGCTGCTATTATTTCACGAATTAGTTCCAACTAACTTTTCCTCTAAAATAGAAAGTCATTTGGAAATAGATTGGCAGATAAACCTCACGAGGCATTTTGTCATAATTAAGAGAAAACCTGAGTCAAAAGGCAGATGATGATGCTGGCCGTTACACGTATCCAAATAGATAAAAGTCTAAGTCTGGCGCCTTGGCCGATGTAAAGCGAAGGCCATCCTTAAATAACAAAAGAAATAGGTATTGCAGCATTTCAGCTACGCATTTAAAGTAAATAAGCCACTATAAGCATCTATTTTGTATGCTGAGAGCAGAAAAAGTAGGAAAGATGACGTAAAAGCCCAGAGGCTGCATTCTGAAAAAGAAAATTCAGAGGGAATTTATGCGAAGTAGTGAAGTTTGCCTGATAAAAATGGTTTAATGGAGGAGACTGGATGGCTTCTTTTGTATTCGATATTGTAGTCTGCGTGGAGATGAATTCGAGCCCCATTTCCAAGCCCTATAATTCTGGTCAAGCTACATCAGCAGCCACATGAAATGGAATAACGGTATCGTAAGGTAATTGATTCAATCGATGAATATTAAGCTCGTCTGCCGAAAGGTCAGCTTCCAAACTATGAACCCTAAACGTCCCACCTCAAGTCTAGGGTTTAGGCGGAACCATCTTCCTTGAATGTCTGGTCCCAACTGCGGCAGCGATAAGAACTATGATTCACACGTCTTATGCATGCGTTGAATAAACTCGGCGATTTGCTAAACTACTAACATGCTTGTAAAACTCGGATTGTCGTGGAAAATATGTTAGAGAACGAATCTCAAAGAAAATAAGGTGGCAAGATGATTGGCTCTGCCCTAGGAATATAATGGAGGTAAATAAGATGCGTATCGCTAGAAGCGATGGAAGAGAGGTTCTGGCAAATAACATGGACCGGCTAGTCGAATTGTAGATGCTTATACTGTGGGATAATAGCCTATCCAAGATAGAGTATATAAACTGATATTTTCTCCGTTAAGTACGGACTGTGTGGCTGCATTCAGCTGCTGATTGGCTAAGGCATACAGTATAATGTACATTAGCCATAAAAGAATTAAGATTAATAAATTAATAAATAAAACGGAATAAATGTATATCTCATAACAAGATAGAATTTAGATACACTCTAGTTTGATTGGCACTACAGATTGTTAACATAGCAACTACCCACAAGTGGTGATATGTACATTTTCTAAGCTAGTGAAAAACATTTTCCACAATTTAAGAAAAAGCACTTTCAAAATGGAAATATTCCCAACCACCTTCTCCTCCTCTTGACCAGCATCAGCATTCGAAGCAACTCCTAGACTAAAAAATTAACACATGTATTTGAAATCAACTCGGGAGTTGGGAAAAAAGCGAACGAGTAAAATGCATTAGCCTTGACTATAAACATATTTCGGGAATTAACAAACCCAAAGGAACTAATCGAGTTAGTAACATAGACTGGTTTCATAAAGTAATATAAAAAATGAAAACGATTATCCCCAAGATAAATGAAGAGAAGGATTGATTTTGCAGTTTCCCTACAGAGTGAATTTCAGTTTTGACTTTGTCTAAGCCTCTTTAACAACTCAACAACATAGCCCTCCTATTATATAAAATGAAACTGATTTGGATTGCGTGTTGATAGCACATTACTTATAAAGTGAATAAAATATGATCTATAGGATCATTAGAAATAAGAATGGCTAGAGTAAATCAACGAGGATATAGTGGTACAACTTATAAATTAAGCTCTTAACGGAAAAATGGTCATAAAATGCATAGCGGAATATAAAGAAGTTATGCTAGAAAGATGAAGAAAATAGAATAAAGCGATTTTGTGGAAAATAAGGGATTGCACAGTATACCATGCATATAGCCCGGGAGGTGGACAAAGTGTCCACATAAGTATTGGTTCGAATTTAGTGAGCCTCAAACATTTTTTTTCAGACTTGTTTATCACTTTAGAAGTAACTCAAAAGCAAACTAATTATTCAGTTTACTTCAATGTCCCAGTTGAATCGACGCAAGAGATCAATGCCTGCTCGAAGACTGTAGATCTCCTTTTTTCCAAGCAACCATTTCGCCTCGCTCGGCAATTCAGCACCGCTCAACCGAGGAGCCCGAGGCCTAACACCACCGTTGTTGCCGCCTTGGATGGACAGAGGATACAAAAGGAAACAGAAGAGAAGAAGAAGAAGAAAATGTGTAATTTTCAACGGGAGGAATAGTTGGACAATTATAACGACATAAAAGCTTTACTTACGAAAGGGGTAACTTTAAAAGAGAAGAATAAGAAAATATGAATAAAATGCAAGAGATAGCAACTCACTGATATAATCATGGGTTTGGATTGGCTTGGAAATGCAACACGACTAGAGAATTCAACTATCATTAAAACTAATTATTCGGTGAAAAAATGCATTGATTTGTAGAGATACTAACTTTGGAGGAAGTAAGAGTCATTGTGTAAACGAAATGGTCAACTTTGTTAAATATCTCCTTTCACTTCATCCGAATTTTGGTGCTTTAGTTTCTCATTTAATGTATCATAGACGCTGCGAATTCCTCCGGTAGTACCCGACGTCAAGTGTAAAGGACTATGCGAGGAAAGACTCGAGTAAAGCAGAAGAAATATCAAGAAAAGAGATAAAAACTGGATAATCTTATTTTGATGAAAGCCGCCAGCAAATAATCAAAATATGCGCCCGATTTGATTCAACGGCCCACAAGGTAGGCTCACTAGAGCGAGTTACGAGCATCCGTAATGAGGATAATTAATGAATAAGCATTTCCTAGACTCAGGCAGGATGCGACCAGATGAGGCTTTGGCTCAACGAGGCAGGAGAAATTGAAGCAGAGATCCGCATCGGGTGTACCTCCATGCAAAGATGACCAGAGTTGAAATGCAAGCAAATTGGTCCGGCCACCGTGAGGTTAAGTTCGTGTCTTATAGGCTAGTGTGACCAACTGGTAAAAAGGTCAGAGCGTCTCAGCAACAAATGACCTCTGAAACAAGGAAAACATTATATGATCCTCTGGGAGCGACCAAAACTAGCCTCAAGTCAGTATATAAAGCAGAGAAGGAGGATAGTAATATTCATTTAAGGTTTTATTTAATTTATTCACAACCACCTATATCACGAAAACGAGAGGTATATCCTGGTTTTCCAAAAGGCTTGAATACCTTTTGAATTGGTATTTAAAATCGAGACTTAAAAAAATGTTGTGTAATCATATGAATGGTTATAATAACAAATTTTGTGCTCAATTTGTACAATACAATCATGGCAAATCGAACTCAGCAAAAAAAGGTTAATTCATGAAATCGTTCAAAAATGTCAGAATTCAAATGTGCCAAAGTGAGTATTCCTGGATGACCTACTGAAATACAATTTTGTTAAGAAGGCTACTTCTCTTCTCAACTTGGATTTCGCAAAAATACGATAGAAACTGAAACAAATCAGAAAAGTGTCTGATCGCGTTTACGAAATAGGAGAGATAGGAACATGCTCGTGCACACATACAAACAAAGGACTCAATTTTTTCAAACAAATTCTACTGAAAAAAGGAGTCGGAAAGTGCTGGAAAATGTAATCAACCCGTGTCCAAAAAGGAGCATATCCCAAAGCTATAGATAAAAAGTAATAAAAATGGATATAAAGACTAAGATGATGTGGCCTCTATTTTGGTCACTGTCTCTTTTAGCTGTATAGTGTTGGTTTGACCTCGTTTTTTTTAACTTGTTCGGAGCCGCATGAAAACCTTTTGGAACGTACCTAGTCCTGCATCCTCTTTCATCATATTTATGATGATTTAAACCAAATCAAAGGTCCGATACTGAAAATTATCAAGAATATTCGAAAGCAGAGGATGCAAGACTTGGTAGATTTCACAAGGTCACTCTGTCGCTCCGACCAAGTTGCGATAAGGAGGTCAAACCAACGTTTTAATAAAAATATGTTAATGTGAATTGGTCGTGTAGAGAAGTTGAATCCTCTAATGCCCATATGGTGGCAAAATTATTCTTGCCCTCATTAATAACCTGTATACACAGCGAACCTATTGAGAGGAGCCTGTTTACCATCGCTAAATTTCATATCATTTATCAAGTTACATACAACTGTTACAAAATTTGGGGAAAAATGTAGGAAGAGACGGTTCAGCACTTAAGCTAGAAAACGTGTCTAGTAGTTGCAGAGTAGGAAGAAAGGAGTGAGCAATAACACGATCACGAAACATCCTATCGAGCCTGAACATCGTGTGTCAACAGAAAAAACGATTCAAAGATCATCTGCAACTCGAGATATGCTTCCCGTCTTCTTAGAATGAAAGGGTTGTTAGTGAAATCAGAAAAAAACTTAATTTTTAATAAAAAATATGCGTATACCTAATTTGGCCCTTTTTCGAGGATGAAAATACCCGATTTCATTCAGCTTCATCTAGTCACTTGATATATTTCTGCCTAATAACAATGGCTCATGTGACCCGTTTCGGTGAAATTATGCCTCGTGTATGAGCGCCAAAAATGTCTTTAGAAGACTTCACTACCGCTTGTGCAGTTCTCTTAGCATTGATTCCCTAAAGGCGTCATCATGAAAGCTGGAGGGGATATTATTGACCCTGAGTGAAGAGAATATTCACCCTGAAGTTATAGCAGCTATGGCCCGTTATCATAACGCCTTCTATGCCAGTTTTTTCGAGTTTTGTGTCAGATTGGCTGTATTCTGGTATCTTAGTAACAAGGTATGTTTATAAATTATAGCCCGGTACTGAGGATGACGCTGCAAACTGGCAATGCAGACTAAAATGTCGGGAAACGCCTAGAAATGTATCCAGTCAGCGGTTCCATGAAGATTAAGGTAAAATCATAAAAAAAA